AAAATAAGAACCAAGATATATCATGTACAGGTACAAACACCCAATGATAAATGTAAACGAATTGTATACCTAAAATGTACCAATAAAAGAACTAAAAAAAAAAGAAAAATAGTGGATTGTCTTCCCATGGGACCTGTAGTTGGAGTAGATTCAGGGTGGGGGACTTAGGGGCTGGTTTTTTGCTCCTATTTTGGTTTAGCATGACACTAAACACTGATAATTCATTAAATTCCCAGTGTTTTATTCAGGAATTATATGTCTGTTCTACTGTGTGGCTTGTTTGTTCTCTAAAATGGAAATATGTGTACTCTATGCAGAAGCATGTCCTTCCTCCCATCACAAACACTTCCGTGGACTTCACACATGATGACAGGTCCTAGGAAGACAGTGGTGTGCCATGCTCACATGGTTCAGGCTTTAGCTTGGCTACTATAACAGAATACCATGAACAACAGCATATGGTGGTTTCTCATAATTCTGAAGACTAAAAAGCTCAAGACCAAGGTGCTGACAATTCAGTTCCTGGTGAAATTTCCTTTCCTGCTTGCAGGTGGTTTCCTTTTCCCTTTACCCTCACATGGCCTTTCCTGAAGGGTTAGGAGTACAGAGGGAAAGCATGCAAGCTCAGGTTTTTCTCCCTCTTACAAGGGCACTAATCCCATTATGGAGGCCCCCTCCCTCATGACATCTTTGAATCCTAATCACTTCCCAAAGGCCCCACCTCCAAATACATTCAGTGTGTGCATGGATGTGTGTGTGTGACATAAATATTCAGTCCATAGCAGTCTGTGTCTTCCAAAGCTTATAGGCTAACATGAGGATCAGAAAGAAATTTTAAAGTCACATGGTAAAGATAGGAGAACAGTAATAAAGGTACTGATGGGAAGATTCTAGGGTGATAGGAAAACCCACACACTAGGGAGAACTTAGTGTTTGCTGTCATACCAATGAGTTACATAAAGTCTTATAACTTCTTCACCTGACATGAAGATACCTAGCTACTTCCAGAAAACATGTGAACAAATGAGTAAGAGTATGAAAGGAAGAGAAGAAAAGCCTGCTCCCTGCACATCACCCATAGCATTACGTTGGAATTCCCACTCCTCTTTCTCTTGAAATGTGTAAATTGTACATCTCAGTTAAAGGTATAATAAGACATATTCACTGCTTGAAACTGTTCACCAAGCACATTAAACACCTGCCTCTTCAAGGACTGAATTCAGCAGGTCTGAGCCACACTCCTAAGTCCCCATCCCTGTGCCTGTGTTGTATGAGAGCTTTTAGCCTTGTCATCAGATACTTATTTTTTTCTGTTAACAGCACAATTTCAACTTTTTCTAAAATGAATTTCATTGTGTTCCTAAGTAGTTTTATCTATTTTTCCTTTAAGTAGCATATATTAATGAATTCATCACCACCTCTGGGTAAATTAAATTTTATTTTATTTTATATTTTTGGTCCGAGGGACTGAACCCAAGGCTTTTGCACTGAGCCATATCCCAGCCCTCTTGTTTTTGGACTTAATTTTGAAGGGGGTGTTGTTTGGTTGGTTTTTGTTTTTTGTTTTTTACTTTTGAGACAGGATCTTCCTAAATTGCCAGGCTAGGTTTTGGCTTTCGATCATCCTGCCTTTGCCTCCCAGAGTGCTAGGATTACAGGCATACACCACCATGCCCCCTCTGTTTTAATATTTTTAAATTGTTCATTCACTAAAATAGAGATCATATATAAAGAAGTATTCGATGAGTGGTTTATTCTAAAACAGCGCTATAAATTCCATGAGTTTTTACTAGTTAAGTCAAATGTATCTAGTCTTGCAATTTATCTAGCTCAGCCATTCAGCATTTATGTTCTAAAATTGTCTTTTATCATTATTTTAATTCATTCATTTTGCAAATATTCGGTGAGCGCCCATGTGTACTCAAAAGTTCAGTCAGATGCCAGGGATTCAGGTATGCATAGTCTACCTCCAAGGAGCTTAACATCAAAATCTCAAGAGCAAAATGAAACAAGGACAAAAACCTAGTCTAACTTTTCTAGTCAGACAGCGCTGGCTTGACTACTTTGGGGCTTTTTTAGCTCACTTGACCACTTCTAAGTTGTGTCTCTAAAATGGAGAAAATTATTTGTATGGTTACCACAGTGAGATGTTGATGGATAGACAAATTCCATTAGACACAAAAATACAGAATTTTTTATATAGATGCAAGAAACTTCATCAACTGTCAAACAAAGAAGACAGTGCAGGTCCTGTTTCTTTGGGTCCCAAGTTTGTATCTGAACATCCAGCTCGTAGCACACTCATTTCAAATGATCCGTCCAGCAGTTGTGAGGTGCCCCATGCTGTCCTCAGGGAGAGGACCTGACCCATGCAGTCTTCTATCCTGAAGCCTTTCTGGCTCTGTGAGTGTACCTGCCTGCACCACCCCACCATGTACCTGAGTGTATTCCAAGATCAGGTAGTGCAAATAAGTTCCCACAATTGCCTTTAGCACACTGAAGCATCAGACCCATCAGAGGCTCATTCCTGTAATACTAGTACCTGGTATTTTGAGAGTTAATGAAGTAGCCTTTAGCATCATGCATTAGCACAAAGCAAACATTTGGTGAATGTATTAATCTCATTCATACATCATTAAAATAATTATTCACTCATTAATGCCATTAGGATTTTCAGTAAACATTAGAAATAAAACTACTCCAGGAACATCTTGTTTTCCAAATATGGTTAGATAGCATGCTTACATTACCAAATATGTTTTCTCTTTGTCAAATAAAACATTCTCTTCTAGATTTGAGAAAATTGCCACAACAAATCTCTGCTGTATCATTTTTCAGAAAAGTAAAAGAATATTGTCTTTTTTTAACCCCTCTCCAACCAAAAAATTTTTAAAACCCACAAAAATGAAGCAGATTTTGTGGGCACAATTTGGAAATATCCATAGAACATAATATATTCTTTATGTTGTTAGTTGCCTATCAATGTTAGAAGTTTAAAATTCATACATAAGTCTAAAATTTTTGCACTGATGGCTAAGTTTCTACTGCTTAACGTTTTGTGTCACCTCTCAGTTACTTTTAATGTTTTTTTAATTTTTGTTTTTTTAGTTCTAAGTATATTTGTCCTCCTAAAACAAATTGAGGCAAGTGAGGCTTGCCAGAAACTATAGCACTCCTCTCACTCAGTCAAGGGTCTTGGTCCTTGGTTGCAGGTGCTGTTTGGCACGGCTGACGGTCAGGTGATTGTTATGGACTGCCACGGCAGGATGCTGGCCCATGTCCTCTTGCACCAGTTCGACGGAATCCTCAGCATGTCCTGGAACTACCCTATCTTCCTGGTGGAAGACAGCAGCGAGAGTGACACAGACTCCGATGACTATTCCCCTCCCCAAGGTACCACCAGCTCTCTGCTCCCTCACTTTCCTTGTCATTTAAAAGAAGGGAACATAAGAACATTGAAGAATGAGGCAATTTAGAGAAGGAAGGGTGAGGGTCCTCATATACACTTACTCCAGAAGAGTTTTGGTACTGCAATGGAAGTCAAGATGTCTTAATCTCTCTTCTTTATGTGACTCTTTCTTCTCTGCTATGCTTTTCCTCCACGTCACTGGTGGAGCTGATTGTGCTTCATGGGCTTAGGTTTTCCTAGATATAAAATGAGATACAGCTCTTCCTGTGTCCCTGAGGTATTGTGGGGCTTAGCTGCTTAGCAAGAATAAAGAGAGCTGAAGATGAAAAAAATCTGTGCTACTAATATAACTTAATATATGCTGTAGCCAAGTCCTTAATGGTATTAAAGCCTATAGTTTTAGTTGCATAAGAAAGAGATTACTTCTGCCCACCAAAGACTAGCACCTGGGACTGGTATTCCATGTCCTTGTCAGTCCTCTTGACTCAGGCAGAAGTTCTTCCCCTTTTCAGATTAGAAAGATCTGTGGCCCCTCTATAAGCTTCATTATGGTCTTAGATAATGTTGATGGGGATCATTCAAACACCACCCTTCTTCACTCCCAGTAGTGTGTTTTATCTCTCAAATGAGTTAGAGACCAAAAAAATGACACAGAGGGAAGCCATTGATAGCATGCTAGCCTTTGTTAGGGCTTTGCTTTGGCCCTTCACCAGTATTCCTTCTCTTGCTCCCACCTCTTCAGTTTTGTGTTTTAGAAAAATGTATCGTGATATTGTAGAAGAGAAAGGCTCCTAGATTAAGTGATCACATCATTGTAGGTTTCTGTCCTTGGCCAGCACAGCCATGCTTCTATGGCTGCATGCCCCTGAGTTGAACGGCATACACTGGACAGTTTCTGGCTTTTATTGTTGTTATGGGACATATCATTCTATGAAAAGCTGGTTCAGGGTTGCTCCCCTACCACCATCAGTGTCTGTTTTCACTTGTACTTGTTTTTTTTTTCTCTTGTCACAGACAGAGATGATATATTGTTCTTTCCAATGATATGCACATATATGTGCATGTGTATGGACAAAGGTATGGTTACCACAAGAAAAAAATTACGATTGGCAGTAGAGAGAGTTTCTAGCATCCATAAATCAATTTAGGAGGTAACCATCCCTTTCCTTATTGGGCAACAGCCTTGAATGAAGTGTTGGTCATATTTCTACATCCTCAGAGTAATAAAGTCAATATCTTTATAACATAGACCCAGCATACTTTTAAAACAGAACTCCTCTGTAGTAAATTGAATCCAGATTTACTCATTTTTGTATTATTACCAGGAGAAACAAAGTGTAGAAACTGAGTTTACAGAGCAAATCTAAAGTTGATCAAAGACAGCAATCAGTCCTAATGCTTCTGTAACTAGTTGCCCTTCTCAGAATTAGTAGAGTGCTTTAGATGATAACTGGTACTCACCTTTCAGTTGTGTGGTATTCTTGGTGGCCTAGAGAATTTGAGCAAAAAGGAAGGTGCAATGCATTGTCTTAGTGTGAAGCAAGAGTGAGATTGGGATTTTCCTAAGTGTCAGGTAGACTACCCTAGGTTGCTTCTGGAGATGAGCTGAGCATGGCTGCAACACTTACAGGAGCCTTCTGAAAGAGCCTTGACTCACCAGGTGTGTAGCAGGACTTATACTTTCTCAAACAACAAATGGAAGAGCCAATCCACAGCCTATTGTGCATGAATACTCCTTAGGAAGTGGGATTGTCTTTTTACATTGGCCATGCATTGTGGAGGTAGCAGAGTGCTTCATGGGATGCACCCAATTTCATTCTTCTCCCCAAATCTGGTCTTTTATGGTAAAAACTTAAGAAGGAACTGGTGGTGGCTGCTATGCTGCTTATTGCCTGTAACATTCAGTGAAAGAGCATTTAGTATTGAAAACAACTTTTCTCTGTGTGTTGGACCAGAATTAAGACATTTTTATCCCTCCTCCTACCATCCTTGTGTGTTGTATGACCTTAAAATAATTTGTGTTTATACATCATTAGAAACTCGACACATTAACATACAAGTTAGTAAACTTATCATACTATTCTCACCACCATACAGTTGCCTCTAGGGATATATATTGGGTGTCCTTCTTATTCTAGAGGTCTGTGTTAGTGCCCCACTAGTGGCCTGTGTGACTCCCAGGTGGTACAGTGCTTACTTCATTTGATTACAACCCACTCCTGAATGGGCTCTACGTTATCAGGCAGTTTTTAAAGCATCATGCAAAAGTGCAGCCTTGGGGACCTGGATTGGGTTTTGTGCTTGTTGCCAGCTTTTTACTCTGGGCTTGTGTTTCCACAGATGGTCCTGCAGCATATCCCATCCCAATACAGAACATCAAGCCTCTGCTCACCGTCAGCTTCACCTCCGGAGACATCAGCTTAATGAACAACTACGATGACCTGTCTCCCACTGTCATCCGCTCAGGGCTGAAAGGTACAAAGTGCTGCCATGCTCCAGCCCCACGGATCAGCCCTGTGCACGTTTGCTTTCTGAGCTGGTGTCAAACACCCAATACTTACTGATTCTTGTCCTGTGCGGTGACCTTTTTGGGTTTAATGGAGTTTGTTAATGAAGATTACTTCCTTAGCTCCCCTGCTTATCTGAAAAATCTATACCTAGTCTTATCTTGGACAGGGATTTTTAACTCTCAGTGTTCATCTTCATCCCCTCCTTTCTTCACTCTGACAAGAAAGATCCACTCAGGTACACGGTGTGTTTGCATCTGGCATACACTGTGTCTGCATAGTACATGGATGGTAGCACCTGCTGTTCTCAGGCAGCAGATGGCATGCAAATCATCATTTACACAGAAGCCTCTGTAATTATAAGAATCTGGCAGGCTTATTAAGGAACTGGTCATCATGCAGTAAAGTTACCTTGAAAGACCTGCAGAGATTCCACAATTGCCAAACCAGGGCATGGTTGCAAAGGCCAGCAGTCAAATGCTGACATCTTCCAGGTGGATGTTGTGTAATGTTGTTATTGCAAGAGAAAACCAAGGGACACAGCCATGGGGAGTGTTTTCAGTTTTGCAATTCGAGAATACTACTGACACTGTGACCCTGATGAGTTATTTGGAATAAACAGTCTGTCTCTTCAGGTTTAAGTGGTGCAATTTACAAAGATTTTAAAATTTAATTGCTGGGCTGCTGTTGGTCTTTAGTGTTAAAAGGACCTACCGTAATATGAATGGGGAGGTGGGAGATAAAAACTAGGACCTTCTCTCCACTAATTGTGACACTGCCCATCAGTCTGAAGAATCACTGCCTTGTGCTGCGGCTGCTTGTCTGAATTCTTCAGGAATTGCAGTGACACAAAGAACCAGGTCTATGTATGTAATTTTTGGTTGACAGGACTCTATTGTATCAGTCTACACCTCCCAGCACTTATTAATTCTATTTTAAAACTATAATTTTTAGAAGCAAATTATATTCCCTCTTGAGTATTCCATTCTGCAGTTTCAGAACTGGACTTGTAAGGAATTATTTAGCCTGTAAACTCCCATGGGACTGAAACTATGTAGAAGTCCTTTACACCACAGACAGGCAGCATTAGGAGCTGAGTAAGTGTTTCGGAACTGATAATGAAATTCCTATGCTTTTCTGTAAATTATTTTCTGTGTGGTCTGTCTTTCATGGAGCTAAAAAATATATATGATCACCGTAAGTCCCTCCACATATTTAGTAATCTAAGTTCTGTTTTTCCCAAAAAATGAAGTTTTAATAAGTTTGCTAATTTCTTTTTTTGGTCCCAGTTATCGAACTCGGGTCTTTGCGCTTGTGTAGCAGGAGGCAAAACCACTGAGCTAAATCCCTGGCCCAAGTTTGCCAATTTCTTGAGAACCGGTTCCCTCTAGGTTTAGAATCCTGAATTTTTTTTTTT